TAAAGTCAACAAGATTTAATTATTTGTTGGTTATTGAGCATCTTAAGCATATTATAGTAGATACATATTGTCATCATTTTTCTATTTCGATAGTTTCCATTTTTGTTGTTGTAAGAGTGCATTTAATTGTTATGTTAAGGATCGATGTATGAGGTATTGCGGGAAAGATGTTGATTACCTAAATTCTTTATAAATCCGTAAAAAAATATAAAATGCCTTCTATTTCTTCCGAATGAGTAGTATCTAAATATGTAGAAAATTATTTTTATAGCCATGTTTTATTTTGATTCTTATATCGGCAAATATCTTCACTATTATTATATTTTGATTTTATTTCAAACATACAATCATGCTTACTTTTTGGCAGACAGGCACGCAATGGATTTTTACTCTCCTATTTGATTGCTTAGCTTTGTTTGCATTCAAAAAACTGATAGGTCTTGATTTGAAAAATAAAACTCTATGTTTATTGACCCTTTTCTTTCAAATGCACAAGACTGTTCATTTATTACACATAGCAAAAAAACTACGATTTATTTGCCGAATTGTCACCAAATCTCAGACTCCCTTTCCCCTGAAAAAAACATAATTAGTAACAGTACTAGAAAATTTTGATGATTAAAAAGCTTCTACTGATTTGTATTTTATCAGTTTTATTGCGAAATCAAGCTATATTTATTCATTATTTCGAACTATCCTAATATTCACTGACATTGAATTCATGTCTTGTAGCAAGTAAAAGCATTGAAGTAGAACATAAAAATAATATTAATATGTATAAAGCTCAATAATATAACGTAATTTGTCATGCCCAAAAACCACGATCAATTTTTATCGTTGATTAAAGAAAGAAAAAAAAAACAAAGACAGCCTTTGGCATTTTATTCAGGTACAAGAAGTAAACTTAGTTTCTTTTTCTTTTTCCTTCACATCAAAAATGATGTATTACAGTTAATTCAATGAAATTAAATCATTGCTCTCAAATCAAATGCACAAAGAGAACGAATTATATTAAGGCAAGGAAGCAGCTAAGTGAATCGATTGATAATCTTATGATACTGAAATGTGAAGATCCAGATATCATCGCTGATACGTTAACGAATACAATGAATAAAGCAATAACCGACAATACAGTTACAATAAAAATTAGAGTAAAATCTAAAAACTTCCATTGCCCTTGGTTCAACTGGAAAGTATTAAGTGCACTTAAACGAAAGATGAACATTACAAGAAGAATCAAAAGATCGAAGAGAATGAAAGTGAAGCTACGGCGAATGCTGAAGTGTGAATCCGTAAATGTAAAAAAAGCAATTGAAAAAGAAAAAAAAAAGTACTTAAACCTACAAATGCAAAATTGCGACCCCAAAAGCATGTGGAAGAGATTGAATGGAATATTAGGACGAAAGGAAAAATCAAAACTGGAATTCATAAATGTTAATGGATCAATAATAACAGATGAATTTATTATGGCACAGAAAGTCAACGATTTCTTCATAAAGAGTGTCTCGGATACAGTAAACGACCAAAAAGTAAAGGCAACAAGCTTGCAATTTCAATCCGTGTCACATACTTTTGTTATAGAAGAAACTGATGAAAAAGAAGTTGCACTGATAATTAAAAATTTAAAAAATTCATCTGCAGGATATGACAACATATCCACAATGGACCTTAAAAATTTAAGCAATGAAGTATGCCCAGTATTATGTCACTTAATCAATACTATTATTAGAAAAGGAAAATACCCAGAATCATTCAAAACAGCAACAGTAACACCGATAAGTAAAACAGGAAGCTATAGTGACTTAAATGACCTACGTCCGATCTCTATTTTGTCCACTTTTAACAAAGTTGTGGAAAAATTTCTCTATAACCGCATCATGTCTTTCATACTCAAGTTCAATATTTTGTCAAATAATCAGTTTGGTTTTCGTCCTAGGAGCAACACGGAATCAGCTGCAATCGAAATTGTGAGTGCCATAAGAAGGACTCTGGATAAAAAAAAAATCGCATCAGTTGTTTTCATGGACATAAAAAAGGCGTTTGATCTGGTTGATAGAAAAATTTTGATGAGAATGCTTAACTTGGTTGGCCTAAGGGGAAAGATCGCACAAATACTTGAAAGCTACCTATCAAGAAGACTACAAGTTGTCAAAATTGGAAGTAAGATCAGCACGCCTCTAGAAGTAATATATGGTGTGGTACAAGGAAGTATTCTGGGCAGTTTACTATTCAACCTATTTTTTAATGAAGTGACAAAGCTCGAAGGACTTAATGGGAAAATTATTCTGTATGCCGATGATCTGGCATTGATAAACGAGCACAATCAAAAAGAAGACGTAACAAATGTGATTAAAAGAGATATGAAGATAATTCTCAAATTCCTGGAACATCAACGAATGATAATTAACATCCAAAAAACGAACTATATGATATTTCATTCTCCATTCATCAAATGTGACCAGCCAGAAGAAATAAAGGTAGATGAAGACTACACGTTAGCACGAATAATGTCAATGAAATATTTAGGTCTATACCTTGATCCTCATTTAAAATGGGACATTCATGGAAATCATATAGAGAAAAAACTGGCAGCCGCTTCAGGAGCAATGTGGAAATTAAAGAATGTCCTGCCGTTATCAGCAAAAAAGAAGATCTACCACTCATTATTTGCATCACACTTAAATTATATGGTGACAATATGGGGCAATGCTAGTGACACAGTTATCAAACCAATCCAGACAATTCAAAATAGAATGATTAGGAATATTTTTGGATTCGACAGGCTGCATAATAGAGTGGATATGTACAATAAAATTACTCACGAAAATATTTTACCGATTAGGGCAATGAACTTCTTAAATACAGCCAGCTTTGTTTACGCATGCACTAAGAGAACTATCCACAGTAATATTACTTTTGAACGGAACCAAGGAAAACGAAATAGAGTGGCCTTAAGATCAGCATCTGCAAAAAATAATTTTGGTAGAAAAGATATTCAACACTTTGGAGCTAACATTTATAATTACTTACCAATTGAAATCAGGAAGGCGGTCCATATTCACTCGTTCAAATTCCAAACAAGACGCTTCATGGCAAACGAAAAATTTCTTTCCAACTGTTTCAACAATGAATATTTGAAAACGTTTGGATGAATGGGCACCTAAAAATGCAAAGAAAATTAATTAGCTTAAATTCATAATAGTTATTCCTATAATTAGATATCCCTTACCTGATTTTCCTAGTCTTATGTTATTTTTTGAACAGTCAATGTGTAAAAAGCAGAAAGAAGCAAAAAGATTCTTCGTATAAGTCCAAATTCCATGTAGATAATATTCAGACGATCTATATTTCACGTTGATTTTCTTTGTTTTGTTTATAAGTTTGAATACTTAGTAGCGACACACAAGTCATGAAAATTATAGCAGAGACGCACAACTCTCGAAAATTATAGCAGAGACACAAAAAAATATTAGTAAAATTTAGTACATCAATTTTAAAATCTGATTTAACCGTTAAAGCTTAAAAAAATGTTCCGTTAGTCTTAAGTTCTTAAACGATATTTTCTTATATCATTGAAACTTAAAATCATTTATATACACATTAAGAAAAGATTAAAGAAGGTTTTTATGCCACCTGAAAAAGTGTAAATCCTTTTTCACGCGGCTTTTCCTTCATTAAATTAATAACTGAATAAATAATAATAATAATAATAATAAAAAAAAAAAAAAAAAAAAAAAAAAAAAAAAAAATATGAATTTTTCTTCTTCGTCATTAGATCAAAAATGTGTTTAATGCAGGCGATGAAAAAAGAGAACATTAGGCATTACAAATGCAAAGCTCTCGTCTAAAATGTTCATTTTATTTTGCGATGAAATCATACAGATTGTGGTTAAGTAGTTCAAGTTATGGAAAACACATATTTCTCCTTTCTTGGAGGGGTTTCAACATTTTGTGACGGTTGAAGGAGGAGAAATTTATTGTTAAAATAGGAGGTTTATTATTTTTGCATTACTTAATGAGTAAATGGTCCCCAAGCAGAACCAATTTTAGGATTAGATACTGTTACTTATGCATCAATTTGTAAGATTATTCTCAAATGAAGAAAACGAAAAAAGTATAAAATTCTTTCTGAATTTTCTATCATAAAATGTTGATAGATCCACAAAAAATTGCATATTTCCCTGTATACTACTATATTATTATATATGAAAAGAAGACAGAAATTATTGTGAGCCACGAAAATGAAAAATGGATAAACCTGAGCAACTGTAAAGCATTTTGATAAATTAAATTCCATATCGTGATATTTTGAATAAATTTCTCACATAAAATGCCGCCATGATACTGTTGAGCCTATAAGATTTTGCGATTTATGTGGAAATAAAATAAAATAATGAGCGAGCGACTAGCTTCACGCATATTTAAGCAGAACTCAATTTTATTTCCAGTCAATGTTATTTTTCCTATCATTACTTCCCATATTATAGGAATATCCTTGATACTATTATGCTTATTGACTCTTTTTCTATTCTATTGTATTTGTTTATTGAATATAATAAAAGAGGAAATAAGTCAAGAATGAAGTCAAGCTTTTTGAATTGCTACAATTCCACGTGATGCTCTGTAATATCCTCTTTTATACGCAAATATTGACATTGAAAGTACTTTACTCACTCTAACTCAATGTGAGGAAGAAAAAAAGAATGAAAGTTCAGAAATTACAACTGACAAATGATTTAGAAGCATATTTATCTGTTAATACTTTTTAAGGATGAACAATCAGTCCAAAATAGATGATTGTATTATTTTATAAAAGCGCTGAAATATAGAATGTGAATAAATTTTCTTTTATTGTTTTACGATATTGTCATATTGTTCTGTCTAGTGTTCATAAGCGATTTATCATTGTTAAAGAACCTTTTATTCTTCAACAAGCTTTTTTTTTCCATCTAATAATATTTTATTTGCTTCTTTTTCTGTCTTCGATTTCAATAATATAGAACCGCGAAAAGAAAAGACTGACAGTAGTAATGGCAACAACAATAATGCTCTATCGCCACAAGAACAGCAAGCTAACATGCATATGATGATGATGTCATCTGGTAACATGGATATTCAAGGAGGTCCAATGTTAAAACTAGAACGCCCAAATTCGCTTGGACCAAAAATAACGAAACGCATTAACTTTTATCATGGTGATAATTGTAAGTATCTAAAATGACATGCAGATGTTAATCCGTTGGTACGAAAGTGCAACATTGTGATAACAAACTTTTACCATCTGTAATATCATAAGTTGGCATATATCGTATGAACACATCTAAACATTTATCCACCAAGTAGCTATTTTAATTGACATTTTAAAACAAAAAATTATTTAGATCAAGATAATCAAAAGAGAACACCTGATAGTCCCTTGCAAGCAAACAACAGTATAATTAGCAATAATAATAATCAAATGAATCAGCAATTCAATCTTAACTCGGGATATATGGGCAATAGTGTAATACAGGGCAATGCTTCAAACGTTGATAGCTATGAATTACCGGAACCGCCAATCCCAGTTAGTGAAATTGGCCCTATCCCTCCACCGCCAATGTTCTCCACACCTAGCCCGACATTAATTGCTGGGCGACCGCATGGTCCTGCTGTATTAGGCTTGAGTCATCATGATTATGATTATGATGGTAAACTTTTATTTGTTCATTATAAATTATTACTGTTTTAATTGTTGACAAAACTTTTTCTCAATAATTCAGATGACGATCAGGATGAAATGGATTCCGATGAAGAATTTATGTATCCAATGCAAAATCCAAATATTGATACAAATCGTATTGATGAGATTCCTGCAAAGGAACCAAAGTTTAATGCGGTGCCATTAAAGTCAGCTTTAAAAAAGAAAACCTCAAATCCTGGAACTCCAACGACTCAGGATACACATAAAACACTCCAAGAGCGTCAGGCTAATTCATCATTCAAGTATGTTTTTCGAAATTTCATTTCTTTATTATTTTAATTACCTCTCACAACTTTATGACATTTTTGTTCTGCTTTAATCTTATTGTGCTATATCCATAAATACAGTAATTTCCGCGATAAAAATTTTGTGAAATGATTTGTGTGTCCAAGCACACACACACGTATTCACACTGCAATTTACCTGTCTACAAAACAAACATAAAATTTCTCCTTATCTTTATTTTGTCTTCAATTAATCTCTCTCGTAGGAGTGATTGGCTAAATATTAACCCTCTTTACCTTGATTCTCGTACTAAACAAAACACTTTTCCGGCTATGACAGTCGTTATCAAGATAAAGTAACACCTTTTTGGACCTATTTTCCTCTGAATGAACTGCTTAATTGTTTACTCTAACTTATTTTTTTTTTATGTGGAGGTTTATGTACAATTTATCTTACAATAAATCAAGCTTTTTCCCTTTAGGGTAAATGACCTTGAAATTTGCGCATTTTCACACATGAAATTTTCATTTGCTTCAATCTCTTCGGACGATTGTAACTGAGTCCAACTAATGGTCTTGAAATGCAGGGAATCAAAGATATTTTCTTCTTTATATGTGTAAAGGAAGCTCTGCTGCGTCAATGCAGAGAAATTTGACTTTTAAAGTTGAACTTTGAAATTTGCGCAGAAAACTTTGAAATTTGCGCAAAAAAATCTTAAAATTTGCGCACTTTTTCAGTAGCAATCTTTGACATATTTTAAAGAAAAATGTGTAAACAAACATTTTTCTTTACATTTATTTGGTGCATCAACTCTAAATTCAAGCAAAAAATGGAGCCATGGATTTAAATTTTTAAGAACTTTTTGATCAAGAATTTCTACAAGAAAGAATGTTTTATTTTGTGGTTGGTGTATATGTGGCTAGCTCGTTCAATTTCATGTCAAGAAGAGACATCAAGAAAAACATGTCTTGAAAATTTATTTCAAGCCCTGACAAGAACAGTTCAAAACTCACATATCAAATATCAAACAAATGTCAATTTTAAAGCACTTCTAAATGTCAGGATTTATTTATAACATATCAAATAAACAAAAAATATTTTAAGCATTAAACATATTTTTGTCTCCATTCTTTATTAACTGATGACTTTCCATACTTAAACAGGACCTTCATGGATGTTTCCTTGAAGTGCTCAAATTTGATCATTTTTGACGGTTTCCTTGACTTTTGCTGGCGTTTTTATTGAAATAAATATTTAGAAATCATTTGCATAATTTTTGTCCTATGTCCTCATATCCATTTCATCAACAATCCTTCTAAAATCCTCATTTTTGGATTAAAATATTAATTAATGTTGACAAAATTTTCTGTCGATTTCTACGATACAAAGTGCGCAAATTTCAAAATTTTCAGAAAATTTTGCGCAAAATTCAAGGTTCAAAAATGGGAACTTTTAAAATGGAATTTTAAAGCAGTTTTACTCATCCTTTTGAATTTGCACCATCAAAATAATTTGAAGCAACGTCAGATCTTCATTTTTTGGTACCAAAATCCCAACTAAATCTATCGCATACATCCCAAAATCAAATTTTTAACAAATATTTTTTTTGTATGGGATTTTTCGGGTGCAAATTATTGAGCTTCCTAATGGTTTAATATCACTAAAAATGATGCAAAAACATCTGCGCTGGTGTTCTACAAACATTTCCCATTGATCGTCTGAACAGAAGTGACATTTTTACATATAATTTTAAAATTTTCGTTTTCATACGAGTGCGCAAATTTCAAGGTTGCGCAAATTTCAAAGTCATTTACCCTATTTGAGAAAAATTCACAATTACATCTCATAAAACATACGAACTTTCATATCAAAATAAAAAAAATTACTAAACAGCACATTCCAAACATGCAGCTCGGATTATTATTTTTTTTAAATTTTATTGATAATTCCTTTTCGTTCCTATTTAAAAATCTAAGCAAAATTTGTATATGTTCGTTTTTAGGCCGATACTTCGACCGCGGATCAGAATCTGGTAATTTCCAACACATCATATTTTGTTGACTTTTTGGTTGTGCTTTTTAAGAACGAATATATTTTGTTTAAAAAAATTTTTTTATGTGAAAGGAAGAAGTGCACGTTTCTTGGTTTTCACATTTCATTTATTTAAATACTAATACTTGCTTATTTAAGAATAAAGAGGATCACTGCACCTTTAATATTTTTACTAAACTTGAGTACCGGTGTGATGTTTTGGCAAAGTGTCATATAGACGATTCTGTTAATTGTCAGTGTCCAATTTACTTGATATCACATAATGCTCACGACACTACAACCGGTTATAAACAACACTAACAAAGCTTCCTTCTGTAATTGAAAAGTGAAAAATTTGTAAAACTGACAACAGAAATTATAGTTTTTCCAGTTTTTCGTAATTTAAACTTTTTACCGTAAATTATATAAATTATAGTTCAATGCCGATCAATGTTATATAAGAGCATGATATAATTATATTTTTAAAGATTTATGTTTCATAAGAATTTTCATTTATTGTTGAATGAATGACTAAAATTCTCTTTAATCTATGAAGGATGTTGAGCACTATATTAAATTTCAATACATTAGATTTATAACATTTTTGTTGGAAAACATTAGAAACCCACTAATCCACTGTTCTATCCATCCTTTATGCACGAATTGCTTACTATCTCCTTAGAATTTTTAAAGAAAATGACATTAAAAAAATATCAGATGTATGGAGATGGAAGAAAAAATATATCTTGATACATTACAAAGATTATAAGGAGAAGTAAATTAAATTGTTTCATTTTAATATAATCCACTATATCCTTTGATAAATATGCATATTATAATATAAGTTAAACTCAAGTAAATAATTTTAACATTTTTTTTTATATATATTTTATTATTCCTTTAGTCCACGTCCGTTGCGATTTGGAATTGGTTTACCGTGTACAATGGAGAATAAAGAGAATACAAGGCCATATATGGTACAAAATGGTACTGGGACCTTCAATGAAAATGATGACGATGATAGTGATTCAAATGATGGACCGATTTTATATCGAGACGATCCCGTTGGAACTGATCGTGCTACAAAAATAGCTAGAAAAGAAAGTTTATCATTGAAATTAGCTTTGCGTCCTGATCGACAGGAGTTAATAAATAGAAACATTTTAAGAATTCAAACAGAGAATGATCAACAGGAAACAAAAGAGGCGATTGGAGCGCGATTGATTCGAAGGCTCTCAATGCGGCCAACAGCGGAAGAATTAGTAGAAAGAAATATCTTAAAAAGTGAGCATCTTTAATTTAAAACTCACAAATTAAAACCATTATCAATTGATTATTTTATTTCCTTTGAAACAGTTCAAACTCCTGAGGAACAGAAGAAATCCAAGGAAGAGAAAAAGAGCTATTTATTAAGAAAATTAAGTTTTAGGCCAACAGTAGAAGAGCTAAAAGAAAAGAAAATTATTCGATTCAATGACTATATTGAAGTGACGCAAGCACAGGACTATGATAGACGAGCTGATAAACCATGGACACGATTAACGCCAAAAGATAAGGCGGCGATTCGAAAAGAATTAAATGAATTTAAAAGCTCAGAAATGGCTGTACACGAAGGAAGTCGTCATTTAACTAGGTAAGGAATTTAAATTAAAATTACAACAACGGTTTCCATAACATATTTCATCATTTATTCGTAGATTCCATAGGCCATGACGCCTCGTATTTCAACTCATCATCAATTTCAACTTTATTCATAGCATTAATCGACCTACATTGATGACGATGACTGTTGATGAAACTTCCGCTATAACTACATATTTAGTGAAAGAAAACAGTAAAATATTAAAGATATTACTGTGATAATGTTGAAGTTATTAAAATAGGATGTTACCTACCTTTATACTAAAAGAAAAAAAAAAACAAAAAAAAATGTGAGGAAAAGTTTAGATTGCGCAAAACCAAAAAAAAAACACAAAAAAAATTTAAAAAAAATTAACTTTAAAAGCATTAATAAAGAAATATTAATGATTCTTTCTTCTTTTCATATTCTTGTGAATGAAAAGCAAATGTATTTTGTTACAGGCTTTTGTTGCCTGAAATTTTAAGCAGGAGATGTAATCGCTGCAAATTTCCTCTTGTATTGTGTGCAGTTGAGAATGTCGTTAACTTTTCAATTCATTTTCTTATTTTCAAGAAAACGAATGAAAAATATCTATTATAATGAAAAAGTAATCTTTTGGGTTGATTTATGAACAGGAGAGATAGCATTTTTTTTTAAAAAAAAAGGAATTTATTCATTTATTAATCAACCTCATGCATCACTTTTGCAGCACATACATAGCATACATTTCATAATAATATTCATCACACCTTGAATTTATATTTAAAAAATGATACAATCAAGAAAGATACAATACATAAGAATCATTAATGTTTGAAGAGGTCAAAGTAAAACGAAACTGAAGAATTTTTGAAAATCAGAAAATGATGATAATCTTTAAAAATAATTAAATTAACTTATTGACATACATAAACAATTAAAGAACTTTAAAAATGAAGAAAAACAGTGCAGGAACAAGACTGCAACATTAAGTTAATTTTCAATCAATTCTCTTAGGTTTTATTTCATTTGAGCAATCAAGAGTGACACGAGAATTTAAAGGCAGTCAAAACAGAAATGCTCAACTGAAAGCATTTTTTTTACTAAAGACTTGATTGATAATTTTGAAAGTCATACTTTTGAAGGAACAGGAGTCAATTCGTAATAGTTTGCTAGTAAGAATGGCGTGCTTGAAAATTTTTGTGTGACTCAAACGTTAAGGATAAAGATTGATTGACATTCAATTTAACTTTTATTCATCAAATCTATCCACACAAAAAAAATTTGAAACTTTCTTTTATGTATGATGTAATTTACATCCAAACACCAATTATGTAATTTTTCTTTCGCTTTCACATTTATAGGATTAATTAATTTAAGTATTGATTTTATTCTATTTGTATTGTGTACATATAAATTTGAACATTTTTGTCTTTCGTTTTTAAAATTTTAAATTTTGTATTATTACTTTTCATTTTTGTTAATTAGTTCAAGATGCCAAGAAACGAACAAATATCATTTTAAATATAATGAACAAAAATTAAAGAATATTTATTCAAATTCTTAAAACTTAACTTTTGCGTCCAAGAATTTTTTTGAAAAATTCGTTCAACCTTTTTGCTTTGATTTTTATTTAATAAGTATCCCAAATTGCACATGGTGACACTCAGCTACCAAGTAAGTGATTGCTACTGTCATCATGTTCCGTATGGATATTATGTTCAAATTATTGATGCTGAACACTATACCCAAAGTAAAGCATAGATTCCAAAAACTAAAAAAATTATTCTTCCTTTTCCTGCATTTATAATTTGCTTCTTACTTTCTTAATTCTATTTTTTAAAATATATATTTTAAATTCATTTCGACTACAACATGAAATGAAATTGCACTATTGTCGTGTCAAATTAGATGGTGTCAATAGAACTTTTTCATAAACCAATGTCACTCGAGAAATATGTCTTATATCTGGAGTGCGATTTGATCAAGCAATAACCAAGAAGATATGTTTTGTCTATTGGTATTGAGAAAGTGTGTGAAATTAAATGTCCGAATCGCTAAAACAAAATCGCTGAAAAAGCTTTCTGCCTAAAAGTAAAAAGAGACTACAAAATTTATATTAATTTTGATCATAAAAACGGTGTCTCCCATAAAAAAAACTGCATTGTGTGAATTTCTAAAATTTTTCGAGATTTTTCAGTTAAAACTCGTAAATGGCAATATCTTCCACTAACATCTTTGACATAGAAATTAAATTATCATTAAAATAATAAGAATAAAAAATGCCACAGAAATCAGAACGAGCAGTAACTTCATTTTTAATTTATTCCTCTATTTCTTTACTTTTTGGGTGAGTTTTTCAGTAGTATCGTCATACTTTGTCGACGAAAGAAGCATCTTATATATAAAAAATTCCATATTTTTCCAAAACGTGATATCAATACTTGATTGCATAGTAGAATGACGTATACTAAGAAAAACTCAATTTGCACCTCTCACTTCATCACATAAAGAAAAGATTATTGATGAAAAAAACAAAGCAAAATGAAAATATTGCGAGAGAAAAAATAGTATTTAAGTTAAACCTTAAAAAAAATATATAATAATTAATTGATATTAAATTAAATTGAAATGAAATGATGAAAAGAAATTAACGAAAAAAAAAATAAAATAAAACGTTTTGAGGCAAATTTACTTTTGAATGAGTAATAATTTTTTTTCGAGACATAAAATTATAAAGCATAATAAAATAAAGGAATAATAAGATTATTGGTTGTGTTCAAACGTTTGAGAATAATGAACAAAGCACGTAGAAAAAATCAAAGAAAGGCAAGGATGCTAAATTATTCAAGTTTGAAATTATGGATGAAAAAAATATTAAAATACTCGAAAAATTGATAATAAAAAAATTAAATGTTTCATTACGTTTTATATATTCAATTATGACTTCTTCCAATCCTCATTTTCTTTACAGTAATTTTTTCCTCATTTCAGTACATTCATCCAGGGTGGTTAAAAATAGAATCTGGCCTTTTTTAAAAATATGTTCACGTGTACAATGTGTGGCAGAATTCATATGTTGGCAGATAATATATGTCACACATTGCATATGTGCACATATTTTATGTGTGATGTGTGCACATATTTGATGTGTGACACATTATTTTATGTCACACATGAAAATGTGTGATGTGTCACACATTTTTATGTGTGTAGATATCATGTGTAAACATGCAAAATCTGCACATATTTATTAATTTCAAATACTGCATAAAAGAGTTAATTTTGTCGAAAATATGTTCATCAAACTGTAGTTTTAAACTAATTTTGGTTATATATCAATAATTATTTAAATAAATTCTACAAAAAAATACCACTTTAGTCCCGCAAATTAATAAACATGTGCAGGTTTTGCATGTTTACACCAGTTTCCACATGATATCTACACACATAAATATGTGTCACACATCACACATTTTCATATGTGTTTCAAATATGTGCACATATGCAATGTGTGACATATGTTATCTGCCAACATATGAATTCTGCCACACATTGTACACGTAAACATGCAAAATGTGTTGGATATGTGTACATATTCTGTAAAATAGAATATTTTTTAACAACCCTGCATTCATCCTTATCGCTTTCAAGTCTTCAAAAAGGTTCGTCAGCTTACATTTCAATAATAGCTCCTCAATTTTAATTAAAATTGATATTTTATTTATTCAGGGATTTTCTTTAGGAGCCGTTCACTTATTACGTTACACAAAAAAACGTCATTTTTCACCCCCTCCCCTCCCCCCTTGTAACAATATGTTACAACTCACAACCTTACCTTACTGATTTACTTTTAAACTTATGATTGATTTAATTTTGAAAATTTCCACAAATTTTTGTTACAATTTTTCAACCCCCCCCCTCCCCCCCACCCCCCTAAAGTGCGAACGTAATAAGTGAACGGCCCCTTACTCATTAGTTTATTGTTTGATCCAGTATGATCAATATTCACTCGCCAGCTAAAGTAAATCCAAGTTAGATGTAACGGTAAAAAGACATTTGAATTCTGGAGTTGCTCATTCAAATTTACAAAAATATTTCGTTCTGAAAAATGAATTTCCTTAAAAATCATAAATTAAACTCTTTGTCACGATTAATTTGTAGTACAAACAGTTTGAGATGTACAAGAAATGTAGGTACAAGACGAAAAGCACCAGAACTGCCAATGCAAAGGGGTCAACAAATGAACGTTAGTGGATTTGGAAAATTTCTTATGGTAAGAAGAATACATTTAATAATAAACAAGATAATTTCATCATATTAACTTGGATTACAGCTGATACCAATCGCAACATTTTCATTAGGAACATGGCAGGTGAAGAGAAAGATATGGAAGGAAAATCTTATTAAAGAGATGGAATCAAAGCTTAAAATGAGTCCACTTGATTTGCCGGATAATTTAGATGACTTAGAAAACATGGAATATCAAACAGTCAAAGTTCGAGGAAGGTTCATCCATGATAGAGAAATGTTTTTGGGACCGAGAAGCTTAATTACACAAGAAGATGAACAGAAAGGTGGGGGAGTATTTTCAAAAGCATCTAATTCTGGATACTATGTTGTCACACCGTTCAAACTAGAAAATCGCGAAGAAACTATCTTAATAAATCGAGGATGGGTATCTAGACAGCATCTTAATCCAAACACAAGACAAAATGGTCAAATCGATGGAATTGTGGAAATTGAAGGAATTGTGAGACTAAATGAACCACGACCTCAATTTTCACCAGAGCACAGATCTGGGCCATTCCTGTACCGTGATATTCAGAAAATGTGTCTTCAAACTGGCTCTGATCCTTACTATATTGATGCAAAATACGATCCAAATTCAAAAGAAGGACCGATTGGAGGACAAACTAGAGTTACTTTGAGAAATGAGCATTTATCATATATTATCACATGGTATAGTTTAAGTGGAATTACTGGATATCTTTGGTGGCGTCAAATTGTTAAACGGGTACCAATTTAATAAAATGTATTAATCTTATTTTTTTTTTTTTTTTTTAAATTAAACTTTTTATTTATTTACATTTAAATTTAAGTATGTACAAAGTTTCTATACATTTTGTTGCTTTTTGTTTTAAGGTTTCAGGCATTCAATTTGCCTTTTGTCTCTTAATTTTGATTTCATTTACGGATTTTACTTTCTTTTGTATTTCATTTGATTTATTCGGTGTTTTGAGATGCAAGACGACTGTTGAAGTTCGCTTGCAACTTTCCGACGTAGTCTTCGATGGACGGTATTTTCGCTTCTGTATGAAGATCGGTGATCCTTTCATATCTTGTTTTATTGAGAACAATTCTCAAGAATTTGTTTTGCAGTACTTGAAGTTTTTGAAGGTGGGTTTTTGCCATGCTTCCAAATGCTGGACAACCATATGTGAATATTGGTCTGATGGCTAGCTTGTAGATGAGAAGTTTGTTTCGTACGTCGAGTTGTGAGTTCCTGCTGATGAGCGGATAAAGCTGTCTTAATGCGGTGTGAGCCCTATTGGTCACATACTCCACATGCGGCTTTAATGTCACTCTCTTGTCGATCACCATTCCCAGATATTTAGCTTCTGTTTCCCATTTGATGTTTTCGTTGAGAAATTTGATGTTATTTCCTGGTAGTTGCCTGGAGTGCCTGTTTGTGATGAATAAGGCTTGAGTCTTCTGTTTGTTGAGGTTGATCTTCCATTTGTTCATGTATTGTTGAACTTTTCTTCCTGTGTGCTGTAGATATGTCACAATATCAGCCGAGTTCTCTGCAGAATGATACAGTGCTGTATCATCTGCGAAAAGACCGATGTTGTTGGTTGTCTCTCTTACAACATCATACGTGAAGATGTTGTAGAGAGTTGGTGAAAGCACTGCTCCTTGTGGCACTCCGAATTTGATTACCTTGATTTCTGAGAACTGACCTTTAATAAAAACTGCGAAAGATCTTTCACTGAGGAAAGATCTTACAGTTTTTATAAGTGGCAGTGGAAATCTCAGTGTGAGCATTTTGTACAAGAGTCCGTTATGCCAGACTCTGTCAAATGCTTTTTCTACATCCAGGAAGATCATGCCTGTTGACTTTTTGTTGTTTAAGTTTTCTTTTGCTGATTTGATCACTTTGATGAGCTGGTGAGATGTTGATCTTCCAGTCCGGAAGCCGCACTGCTGGTTTGGGATGATGTTGTTATCCTCAAGATGATCGTTGATTCTATTCAGTAATACTCTCTCCAGTATTTTGCTTATTGAGCTGAGTAGACTTATTGGCCTGTAGCTGCTTAGCTCATTTGCTGGTTTTCCAGGTTTTGGAATAGGAATCACTTTTGCATGTTTCCAAACTTTGGGGAAGTGGTTGAGTTTCAGACACGAATTGATGATGAATTTCAAGTATTCGAAACCTTTTTCAGGAAGATTTTTGATGAGTATGTTGTTGACTTCATCTAGTCCCGGAGCTTTTGGATTTTTCAGATTTCTTATGATGCTCACGATTTCGTTTACATCTGTTAGTTCTGGATTCTCATCATTGTCTTGTTCCAATGCTTCTTTGACTGTGTTGTTTACTTCCTGTGTATGTTGTGGATCGTTTTGTTCCAGAGGATTTTCGTGAGCTTCACGAAAATACTCGCTGAGTGCGCTGGCTTTTTCTTTGTTGGTGATGAACGTTTTACCCAGATTTGTCAATGGAGGCATTGTTTTTGAACCTTTTTTGCAAAATTTTGCTATTCTCCAAACTGTTTGGTTTGACGGTTGAATCTCTGAGAGACGCTTATTCCAGTTTTTGTTTTTGAGTTCTTTAATTTTCTCATTGATGACTCTCTGCAGATAATTCAATTCAGATTTGAGTTGATTATCTCTGCTTCTCTGCCATCTTCGACGAAGACTCCTTTTTGTGTTGATTAGATCTTTAATCTCCGGTGTGAGTTTAGTTGATTCGAACTTGATCTTTTTCATTTTTACACTTGAGTTCCTCGCTTCCATGATGAGTTCAGAGAGAATCTTAATGTGATTCTCGATCTCATCTGTTGTATTGCAAGAATTTTCTCCAATGTTGTCTTCAATGCGGCGTGAAATTTGTGCTTTGAACTTTTTCCAGTTTGCGTTTTTGTAGTCATATCTGTAGACTGTATTTTCAGTTCTGTCGATTTTTGATGTTTTGATTTGGAAATACACAGCGCAGTGATCACTCATTGCCTCTGTGCATTGAAGTTCTGTTGTTTCGAGGTTGGAATTCGAGAGCATCAGGTCAATTGTTGACACTGATTTGTTTCGATCTTCTGGGTAGTACGTTGGCGAGTCAGGAAAGTAGATCATGAACTCTCCTGACATTTCCTGAAGAATATTTCCTGATTTATTTGCAACGTTGCAGTTCCATTCTCGATGTTTTGCATTGAAGTCTCCACAGATGTAGTAATTTCCTCTCAGATTTGTTATTTTGTTGATGTCATCTCTCAGGTGTAGATCTATTTCCCCTCCTTTGCTTCCTCCTGGGAGATAGACTGAGAGGATGTGACAACTATCCGTGTCATTGATGAAGACTTTGATTCCAATGCATTCCATTAGTTTTGTGTTGTAGCTTGGTTGAAGCTGATGTTTTAGATTTCTTTTGACGATGATTGCAACACCACCCTTTGGTCTATCCACGCGATCCAATCGATGAATTACGTAGTCTGGATGCGAGTCAATTTTTGAGTTTGGTTTTAGGAATGTTTCTGAGATGCAAGCAACATCGACGTTTTGCTTGCTTAGGTAGTCGAGAAATGCTAACATTTTGTCAGTGAGGCCGTTAGCATTCCAGTAGAGGACGTTGATACTTTGTTGTCTACAATCCATTATTGTATGCGGTGTTTTTGGCACTTGAGCCGATTGCTTGGAGTATTTCGTCGATGAACTCTGGATTTTTGGCGATTAATTTGAGAAGCTCGCTGATAAGGTACTTGCACTTTGATTCCTCTATTTCTGAGATGTTTTTATCTCTTGTGCTGGTGCTTTGAGCTTGTTGATTAGTTGTTATGTTTCGATTCACTACCTCAACACTGAATGAAGGTTCTGGGAAGACTTCATTCGAGGTCTGACTTGTTGCACTGATGTCTTCTGAGTCCATAAGCTCAACATCTTGCTTTGGTTTTTGATGTTGATTGTTATTAATGCGCTCGTTTTGCTTTTTTCTTTGATTCTTTTTCCAATGTTTTCCTCTTTCTTTATTGTTTTGTTGGTTGTTCAAGTTATTTTTATTTCCCTGATTTGAGGGTTTGTGATTTGGAGGAGGATTTGTGTTCCTTGGTTTGTGGTTGACTGGAACTTGTTTTTGATGAACAGGCTTTTGTGTACCAGATGTTGATGGTTCCATATACTCCTTTCTCCATTGAGGTTTTGGTGCATGTTGGACGTTTCTGGTTGATCTCTCAGGACGATGCGGTGTTGGAGGATTGTTTCTCCGTTGTCCATATGAATAATGGCCTGCTGTTTTGTTTTGATTTTGGTTGTTTCCATTCTGTGATTTTGATTTCCATTTTTCAATTATTTCTTGTCTGGTTTTACAACCTGTGAAAATTGCTGTATGTTTTTCACCGCAGAAGAAACATTTGAGTTTTCCGAGTGGAACCTTGTTGGTCTCTTTCGATATGTACTGGCACGTTTTCGAGTCATGTTGCTCAGAGCATCTGAAGCAAACGGACGGTTTGTTACAACCGTTTTGTCCATGACCAAACTGCAGACATTTCGAACATTGAGATGGACCAGCTTGTCTATTTTTGTAGTCAGCCCATTTAATTTTGAAACTGCTGACAATTTTGATTTTTCTGAGGAATTCCAGGAAATTTCCACCTTGTTCTACATCTTTTTTGAAGTACACGAGGTAGTTCTGGTCGTCGTCTTGTTCGTGTCTTTTGTGTTTCATTGTCATTTTGACAATTTTTACTGGTGTGATTTTTACGGTTTGAAGTTCCTTCTCCAACTCACTGATTTCCATATCTGGGAGTCCATAGAGTACGTACTTCTTCAGTGGTTCTTGGCTGGAGTATGTGTGGAAGTGATGCTTTTTGTCTTTGAGTAGTTGGATGAATTTCTCGTAGTAATCCCAACTCTCCGTTGTTACCGTTTTTGTTCCTTGTTTGCCCTTTTTGGTCTCAATTAAGAAACTTCCAGGTTGATTGTTTATTTCATTCGTCAATCTCTTGATTTCACCAGCTCCTCCTGTGCTGATGACAATTGGAGGTGGTTTTGATTTTTGTTGAGATTTGTTGTTGTTGCTTTCCGTGTTTACGGAAATTGTCTTTTGTTGCTCTGATGTTTTGCTGTTTTCTCCCCAGTACGAAGAATTTGTCGATCTTTTTTTCTCCTGTTCTGGTGAACCAAATAGATACGGTTTTCCAGAAGACGAAGCTTTCTTCATTGGTGGGAATACGAACAGTGGTTTGTTTCCATCTTTTGGTTTGCTTTCGTTTGCTACTCTTTTTAAAAGAGCGTTGTGAACAATCACTTCTCGAGGGCGTTTTTCTGCTTTACTTGCTTCATTGAGAAACTTCTTTATTGATATTTGTTTTTTTGGTTTGAGATTTGTCATCTCAATGTCGGCTGCTTGTGAAACATCTTCACTGAAAATTTCCTCAATATTGAGAATTGTCACTGAAGATGAGTGCTGATTTTGAGAAAGATTTTCTTCGTTGTTGGTAGTTTTTGGTGATGCTACCATTTTGATGTTTTGAGAATCAAACTGAGATTTTGAAACTTTTTGCAAACAAAAAGCTTCTCAGGTAGTCTCTGTTTTGTTTCTTTTGAGATTTTTGAATAATTTGCGGAGCGATTTGTAAACACGTCTGTTCACGTTGAGATCTGATTAATCTTATTTAACTAGACAGAAATTGATATGCTATTTATTAATAATGGTTAAATCTGCCTTAAAATACTTGAAACGGATTTTTTTGGCATCAAAAGTTCTTCATTTCAATAAGGGGCCGTTCACTTATTACGTTACGCAAAAAAACGACTTTT